CTTATAATTTCGCGATTATCCTTGTTTTAATCCGAAACGCTCGTCGGAATTGCCGAGGACGGTTCGTTGTTCTCGCGAATATTTCAGAGAATGTTGAGATTAAAAACACTAAAAGAAAGGACGCGATAACGAGCGTAAAAAGAGACGGAAATTAACACTCATCGAAACGAGCAACAAGTACACCCTTTCCTTCCTGAAACGACTAGCACAGCCACGAGGAAAACGTTACTTTCAGTGCGTATTTTATTCCGAGACAATCAAGCCGGGTCGTTTAAGCGCTCCCGCCGCGGAGAAGATTGCAAAATGGGACGCGGCCGGTCATCCGGATTCTCGAGTGCAATCCAAAGCGTTCCGGACGACTTCTAATTAGAACGGCTCATCTGTCTGTCTCTGGAGAGAGATCCGCGCCGAAATTTTCCTCGTGAAATTGAACGAATAAGAGCCGAAAGAGGGCGAAATGGTAGACGTAGAAAGAGAAAGGAAAGAACGGTGAATCATTCCATGAGCATAAATTAGCAGGCCGTCGCAACGACGGTTAATTAATTAAGGTAAATTGTCCTAAACGTAAGTAACTGCTGGCGCCTAGGTCATCCTCTTCCTCAGGATAACAGAGACTCTTCAGGATGTCTGGCCACGAGACGAATTTCCAACGAACCGCCATCTTCTTTGCGGTTTGTACTCGACGTTTGATAAACCCGTGTAGAATCACCGTTATATGTTTTAACAAAAACGTGAATTTACGATTTATTAAAAATCGTTTTAAAATGTTTCAAAAAGTTCAAAGCACATCGGTATTTCAAAGTAAATAATTTGTACTGTCCGCAATGAAAAATCAGCAATTTATAATCATTCGGTGAGTAATTAATTTGTATTTTGGTACAACGATAACAGGTTCTTTTTATGGAAATTGTTGATTTTCTCTTGTTATTATTCGACATTGAACAAATTCCAATTTTGTACGGAATATCACGCACAGTCGAATGCTTATAAATCACGGCTATTCACACGAAAAAATGTATTTTGCAAAGGGAGACGTTGTGCTTTTTCCAGGAATTAACGTCAGCAATTATTGCTGATCAAACAAACAACGTTGGTCGTTATATTTCATCGTTTTTATTCATGATTTTGATACGTAACATTTTACGTCGATATTCTTTGGTTGATGAGCATTAAATATGTTTAATATTTCATGGCATGCGTTATGAAATGCGGCTGTCCAAATAATCCCTTTTTTGACGAAAGAAAAAGCTCGAAATTACAAAGCAATTAATTCCATTAAAACATGCCGTGAGTAATGTAAAAATGGAACTTTTTTTCGACCATCAATATTCAACGTTTCAGGTATTGATGCAACTATACGGCCGATGCTAATTAGTCCGGCAAGCGTTAAATTTGGAAGCTCTTGAAAATCTAAATCGGCGAACAACAGCCAGGTAAAATTTACGCGATTACGATTCTCTGAAGCAGACGTTTGCTTAATTGAAGCTGGATCGTGCGATTCGATTCCCTGTGCAAACCTATGGAAATCCACGTGACGATCCACGAAATTATACCGGCGATTTAACGCAGCAACCTCTAATTATCTGGTTTCATTCAAAGCGGCGAATCGCTCGCGTTGGAAATTATCCTTTAACGTTCGCTTCGTGAACGAGCACGCGTTACACGACAGAGGGTAAACATTACAATTAAACGACGTCGAACCTGCCCCCCGTTTGTTTGTCGCGTTAATTCGTGCAACGATGACGTACTCCGCGTTTTATTCTATAACAAACAAAGCGAAAACAAGCGGAAGAAAGAAATTTAACTGTCGCTCCAGTCATTCGCAAAAAATTAGCGTTAATAACTTATTTGTCTGGGCTGTTGAAGAATTTAAACATTCGCAGCTTCAATATATGAGGTTCTAAGTACCTCGCATGAGTAATATCCATGTTTTACGTAGAGCAAACTGTACTGTCTACTCGATTACAGGAAAGAGACTTTTCTGAATTTGCAGGAAATGTTGACGGTGTAAATAAATTGAGAAATTTGATTGTGGGAAAACATTATGGAAATCGAAGCGCGGATATTTGAATTACGAGGCTACGACGATATCTCGAAAGTGTTATTAATACGCGACACTCCGCGAAAGTTTTGGTACGCGGTTTTAAACTTGCTCGAATTTCCCCGCATTAAATTTAATACGAGGAAGTTTTCGTAACAGCGAAGCAGCCGAGGAAAAATGGGACGTAACTTTTTTCGCCGGCAACTAATTTCCCTAAACTGACACGGATAAGAGTTCGTAAAACGTATCGACGCGAGTTGTTACATTATTTACGTATAAATAGTTGCGTGGCTGTTTGGTATACCGCACGGAGCGCGGCTAGTTTCCCCGTTCTTTCTTTTGTCTCTGAATTTTAAGCACCGCGACCACCGCGTGACACCGAACTTCCAGCAGGAATTATTTAACTTTTAAATTTATTAATTTACATTCTCTGCCTTGCCGGTGTTCATACTTCTCCCGGAGATGAAACGAAATTAAATGAAACCGTTGTCCGAGAATGGCCGGTACTTTCAAAATGAAGGCACAACTTTTCTTTAACTCTTTTGCCGCTATTTCAACTGGAAAACGTTTCTGTACGTTTATATATTAAATTATCTAATTTAACGTGAAGACGCAATTAAGATAATTATATTCTTGAAATTTTCGTTGAACTCGAGTATTTTCTGCTGTAGGTATTTTCACTTTTAATTGTCATTAAATGTCTGCTAATTTGAAATGCGAACGCTTTACGTTCAACCACTTTAGTTAGGGAACGAATTAACTGTCGCATTAAGGGTATTTTCCACTGTCAGCATTGTTAGTTTTAATTGCCATTTTAAAATTGTCATCGCATACGTCGTCACCCTAATTAGAAAACCTTTTAACTTCAACGCAACGCAACAAGAGTAGAATTACGAGGGTTTTCTAATTAGGCTGACGATTTACTCTATCAAATATATATGGGAAAGAATTCTTGACCAACGATCTACGAAGGAATCGCGTGTCAAAAGACTCCCAATCGCGTGATTGTTTGTGCAGCTTCGAACCCTGCTTTAGCTCAGCATTCTCGAAACAAGATTTACGAACAACCGTTTATATGGCAGAAACCAGGCGGTCGGTTCGTGGTTCCATAACTCTAATTTTATTATTTTGATATATCTATTAAAGCGTTTCGAACGGGTGTATCAAATATCATTTAACGTAATCTGCTTTCAAACATCGAACCTGTAAATAAAATTTAGTCATGCTTTTCGATAAAGTATTTTGCGGAGTAAACTAAAACAGTTAAAAGGAAGAGGCGATTTTAGCACATTGTCGAAAGCTTAGATACAAAGAGAGGAAAAGGAAAAAGAAACGGAAGGCAGTTTTTGATCAGCGAAGGTTTCAATTTAATTAAAACTGCGCCGAGTCTAACCGTGATTACTCCGGTTTAATTCGATTTCTATCTTTTAATTCTGCGCCGTGATACAAAGAAGCGGTCAAATTGGATCGGCCGAATCCGCGGGGGTGTGAGGGAAAATAGAAAAAGTCGTCGCCCGCGTTCTCTCTGACACAGATTTAACGGAAGTGCTTATGCAGCCAGGCAGATTCGGAGCCGAGCTCGCGAGTGTGCGGGGACTTTTATGGCAGCACGTGCGTGCCATAAAGCGGCTGTTTCCTTGAAAAAAGCATGGAAATAAAAACGGAAAGCTTATCTTATTTCGAGTATAAATCCATCCTCGATGCGTGTCATTTCTCACTGTTCCTCGATTTCGTTTCGCAATGGCCGAATCGACGAGTTGCCTCGAACTTGCCGATCGAAGCTCGTTAACGCGTTCGCGTGCAATCGAATCGAATGGATCGAGCGCAACGTCGATTAAAATTCTCTACATTAATTATCCGCCGCTAGATTGGAACGTGAAACGCAGTTAATTGACGGCGAATGGAATTCCGATGACGCGATGCGGATTAACGCCGCTCGTCGACGAGATCGATCCCCGCGGAAAAATATGAGAACGTATCGTGCTGCCATTCGATCGTTAATCGGTTAAGTTCCCGAACGGCCATATTTCTTCCGCCTTCTATTAAGTACCTGTTAAATTACAGACTGACACATTTGTTCCCGTTTCAATTTCGTTATCGAGTCGATGATTCAGCGCGAAAATATCGTACGTCTGTTTCTTGCGCGAATCTGCAAGAAATCGTTCGTGCTTCCTAAACACCGCATTTATCTTGAAGTTTTTAACTCTGTATTTATGTATTGTCAGCGGTTCGTTGCCATTATGTAAATGGATACAGGTTTCTCGAAGCAAACAAACATTTTTTATCCGTTTTAAAATTAACTCGTCAGGAACGACCTGACAGCTTAAGTGGAATTCTAAAGAAATGGAGCTGGCGACGCTTAGACGGCCAGTCTGGGAGATTTGTGTGAAAAGTTTGGCAAAATTGGGTCTACGACTAGGCACGATGACCGTATCGTGATTTACGCGATTCATTTCTCCGGCGAAATTATCAAATGCTAAATCTTGAAATAAATGTAGAGAACTTCCCTTATCACCGAAGTATACTACGAATTTCTGAGCATGCTCTCGTTCTACTTCATTCCGTGCGATCGTTAAACGAATAGTTATCAATGGAAACCGAGTTAACGCATAAAATGGAAAGAATCAAATTGTTCGCCAAAAACTGTAAACCTCAAAAACGTGGAAAAAACATTGAAATTGTTCGTATTGTATGCGCAATACACTGATCGAACCGATAGAATTAAAAACGCGTGTATCGAATACTAGCGATTGTTATACGCGGTAAAATATCAGAAATCGTGTTTCAGGTTGTTTCGACACATTTTTGGTCAATTGACGAAATTTAATTTGTTATACGCGATTAAATCGAACGTTGTTACGGGTCCAAAACGATCGCGTTTACCGACGCGCGAACAGGACGCGCAGAGAAAGGTGGTGGCAGAGGCTAGGAGAAAATAGAAGAAAGATCGAATACCAACCAGCAAAGATCGTGACAGGCAGCAAGGTGCAGATGCCCAAATACATCAGCAACACTGCCCAAGCGTGACGCGGTTCTTGGCGCAAGTCCAGCTTTTTCCCGCTCGCTGAGCCACCGATTCTTGGCCTCTTCATCGTGCTTGGTGCCGCATACTTTTCGCTCTGGCCACGTAAACGCGAACCTCACCGCCAGTTTAGAGCCAGGGTACTTTAATAATGCTTCCTCGGGCGGCTTCCTTCCTTCCTTTCTTCCGTTTCGCCGCCTGTTCGCGTGTAACGCGGGATTTCGTAACCATGCAACACCGAAACCCCCGAGCACTAACATTCCACTCCTGCCAGTTCCACGGACGCTGGTATCCTTGCTGCAGGCTCCTCATACGCTGCAAGTCCGCTCACCGATTTTATAGACTCTGGAAATCCACTCCACAATTCTATACGTGCTGAAATTTTATGTGGAAGCAGGAGGAGTCAACGCGTCGAAATTCTGGGTGCTGATAATCTTCGAGTTGGTGCTCCATGCGCTGGAATTCCACACGTAGGAACTCTGCACTCGCCAAAAGCCTACACGTTGGAACTCTGCATATTAATAATCCGTGCTCTAGGATTCGTACCCCAAACTTCTATGCACTAGAGCTATACATCAGCTGATCAGTACACTGTCAAGTCTTCTCACGAATTTCACACGCGTCAAAAATCCACTCCCGAAAACTCCTATGTGAAATCTTCGCGAGATTCTTACGCACGTTGAAAGTTCTGGCACCCCATCCACATTGAACTCTGACACTCTATGGTGTCGTGAACTTTTCCTTGTACGGAGATCACATCGGTTTACTGAGGACAGTGAAATGGCTCGTGATAAGAAATGGCTGATAAGACGCTGCAACGTCTACTGTCCGTTGGTAGATGTCCGTTAACGCGTGAAGTTTTAGTATGATCCGTGCGAAAAAAAAACGAGCGATAAGAGCTCATTTACCTAAGGAGTTTGGGCAAAAGCTTTCGGATATAAGCCATAGAATTCGGTTCCTCGGTGAAAGGTCCTTTAGGACGACACGTAACTATTTCCGGGATAATAGTTTTTAACTGCATTTTTATCTCTTAATAACGTGGCAGGGTTAAGCTGACGGTCGGCGAGGTACATCTCGACGAGATCGAGGGTCGATACCAGCGACAGCTTCTGAAAAATGGAAGTCATTAAGGGAATTGCTATGGCACGGTTCGGTCGTTTAAACGTGCACCCTTTCTATTTTGTTTTTTTTTTCGTTTCGTTGTATTTGACAATGATGGAGACACACAGCAGCCGAACAACATGGTTTAATAGAAAATACGAGAACGTTTGAATTTAATACGTGACGATTATTACGAAGTTAATTGAAACTAAACGTTCGTTCGTTCGTGGAAATTGAACAATAACACCGTGAGAATAAACCAGTCGCGGATTTTCATACGACCCGGTCGTGTCGGTGATGATTTGTTTGGAAAGCATTCGGCGTGAAACTCGTCGCCGTGTTCGGGAAAGATGAGTTTCACTCTTATGTCAAATTGAAAACGTATCGATCGGCTGGAGGAAGTAAAAAACGAGTCGAACGTGTATACCCCTGAGATCCCGTCGCACGAATTCACCGAGTTAATCCACGCTCATTTATCTACACCCTCGGTAAATTAACTCGTCGATCAAAATACCCGCAGCGGAGTCACTTTCCTTCAATAGAAAAAAAACACGATCCAGTCGGTATCGTCTTTGAAAGCAGCGAACAGAGACACGAACTCGTCGAGGCGAAAAGAGACGTAATCGAGTCTCGGATGCCCATAAATTAATCCTTTCGTCTCGAGCGGACGATCTTATGCATTTATCGTAGCCAAGTGGCCAAACTCGTTGGAAACACGGTTTACCGGTGGATCAACTAGGACTAATTCGAGTTAAAACGGATCCGAGTAGGTAATTACATCGTCTTAATTAATTCTTCGGACTGTTAGCGGACGACAAGCCGACGACTCACCCTTCGTTCTCGTTGCAACTCGAACAGGGAGAGCGACGACTTGTCACGTCGAAAACGGAATTATTCGCCGACGATCGCTGCACAGCCAAGCATTTCTTCGAGGTTAAACGTTAAATTGCTCGTGCAGAATGTTCCATGGGGTTGTGACGGTTTTGCACGCGATCGCAGGGGGTTGAAAGTAGTCGTCGAACGAGGGTAGCGCGACGGGGAGAAACGATCCATTTTCACGATCGAAAGTCCAATCGCTCGATAGCATACCTCTTTGGATGCGAAATGTCTGATATTGGCACGGGCGAATAAAATAATTTTTGTTTCCGCGAAACGGGGTCAGAAGTTTGATGCATGTCATCTCGCGTCGCAATCCGATACTTAATCGCAAGATATATTGAATAAATGGCAAGCCAAATTTTCAATATATTCGAAAGCTAGAAAACATTTTATACAGAAGTGTTTCCTATGCTATGTTTTTCTTTTAGTTTAGAGAAAAGTAGAATTGGAATCGCCACCGGTAAATTATTGCTCTGTTTATAATGCGGTAGGGAATCGGAAAATCGGTCGGTCGTAGAAGATAAAGTTGCTCGTGTTTTTGGAACATGTCGGATCGGTAAAAATTACCGGTGAAAGAATTTGAAGTTTCGGAGACCGAATGAAAAGTCCTGTAGCTAAAGTGTCGCCACGGTGGCGCGATTTTTCGTCCAAGTTTCTATAAATACGGTCGTTCGTCACTCATCGAAGCGTGCCCGAACTGGAACCCGATAAATCATCATCGCAATGGCCGAATGAAAAATTGCAATATTTTCGAGAATTTTGATTTTACGTATTGGAAGCTCGTTCGCGTTCGTTTGTTTCTTGGCGAAGAAACGTATGTGGTTGATTGACATTCGAACATCTACGCGAACAATGCCTGATCAATAATTGGAAAAAATCTACAGAAATGAAATTTGGGTAAAGAATTCGATATTCTTTCGTAATTAGGATAATCGAAGAAGAATATTTATTAAAAAAAAAAATAATGTAATAGTAGATTCACGTTGGTGCAACGTGTCTGGATCAATTTTTAAAGCGCAGCTTGAAGTCGTCGACGAAGGGTCGTCTCCAAGAACAATGACAACGCTGATGCGAGCCAGCCAGTCTCAAATTATCCCTGCAAGGTATTATTAATTAACGGGGTTGTTAAGCAGCGTCGCGTGGGGCATTAAGTGGTACGCGAAGTTGGACACCCTGAAAAAGGGTCATGAACTATCGCAATCTCTACAAAATAGAAAGAAAATATCCTTAAAACCTGCAATTAAAAATGCTTCACTAATCCTAGAGATTCCTAGGTTAAGATAGAACATATTCGAACGGCAACACGATAACCCAGAAACGTGGCAATTTGAAAAGAAGTCACGATCAAGAAATAAAGAAAGACAAGAAAATTCCTTAACGCAATTTGCTAAATAAGATTCCTTTAGTCTTCGTCGGCGGTGGCAGGGTTGAATTTTAAATGTACGACACAGTGGTTGAAGATATCCGAAGATGTATAGGATGGGAGAAATTACGCGTTGCACAGATGGGCAACGAGAACGTAAACCTCCAAGAAGCGTAAATCGCATTTGTGTGCGAGACTCGCGAGCATCGTGGATGTCGTTCGCGAGAACACACATACACCGCGCCAACTACGACCACCTAGGGAATAACGAAATTTTCAGCAGTTGTCAAATTAAAATTCAAACGCTTAGGCGTCACCGTGGATGTCGCCGTGCGTTTCACCGGAGACCCAGAAAAAAATTCCAGCCAGAGATTAATGTCTCGACGTTAAATTTTAATCTCGTTTCTAGTCTCGCCTGTTGACTGTAAACTGTACACGTGTATTTTCTGAACTTCTCAACACTTTTTTACGCAACATTGTACTGTCTAATAAATGAAATATCTGGATAAAAGTAAACGGTACAGACTCCTGAGTTGTCACAATAGCGGAACAGTAATAAAGAGTAATGAAATTTATGATTTAATCTTTTCTTTGTAGCAATGAACAGTGTGAGATAAAACGAAGATACGAAGATTTGAATGTGTCTGAGTTAATATTCGAGGCCGAAAGTATATGAGCTGTTTAACGAGTAACTTTTAGGTACGAGGGACAAAAAGAGTCGAAGAGTCAACACGCTCACGAGTGGTTCTTTTGAAATTAGAATAAACGCGGTTCCGTAGAAAAAGAGTGTCGAGGAACAGAGCACCCTCGTTTTCAAGGAATGACATTCGTTCGCTCGTCAGGAGCTGTCAAATCTAGCGAAATCTTCTTTCTATTTATAGCGAATTCCGGTTGACTGTGGTCGTGCAAGCTCGCTTGCATCGTTCTGCATTAACTCTCTCGTTTCTTGCAAGCTACTCCTCTCGCTTCGCCCGCGTCTTTCGAGTGGAACGAGTGCAAAACCCTTCTGTCCGGGCGTACACATAATTACCAAAGTTAATTAGGGCTTTGGAGATGAAAGAGAGTGAGAACGAGGGAGCATGGATGCCAGTGTGGCCAGGTTTAAGGATGTATTTGCGAGCGGAAGGGGAATGGGGCGGTGTTAAAAGGTTGCGAAGCGCTCGAAACCGAGCGAAAAAGCAAAAGGGTTACCCTTGATTTGCGGTCGATGTAATTTTAACGGAAAACGATGCCCCGAGGAAAGTGCGGCTCTCGAACAGAGAAAAACGCGATGTTTGCCTTCCAAATTTATTAAATTAAAGAGGAATTAACGCGACATTAACTGCGCTCGTTATGTCACCTCCGATTACAAATTTTTAACGACTGCTAATTTTTGCTCGAATAAATTTTCATCGAAATATCACAATTTAGATCGATACTCGATAAATGTTGCAATTAATGCACTTAATCTCTTAAGTCTTCTTAGCACTTTTCGGGATCCACTCGACGAGAAATATCGGGTAGTAATTCCACAAAAGTAACCAGGAACAGAAACGTAAAATGGAGAGAATTTCTGGCTACTATTTACAGGGAAAATAGCGCGAAATTACAGGAACGTGGAAGAAATAGCATCGAAGTCGTTGCGCTTGATCTCATTCGTCACTAATTCTGTTTTGGAAAAACAAGGGTAGGCGGTCGAATGTTCGTGGAAGCGTGTAAATTTCACTTTTACCCGCGGCCGACAATTTTTTATTTCGAGCCGGTGTTTCCGAACGAATGCGTTTCGACGCGAACCTGTTTGCACAAAGAACCGCTGCTGCATCGTTGCAGCAACACCCTTCCACCGTCAATTTTACCCCTGACACTCCCTATCTACCCCCGTTTCATCGGCTCGTGGACCAGATCGTCGCCCCTGTACCGTTCCAACCCCTCTTCCCCATTGCTCTTGAGTGCAATTGGTTTTTCGTGTTCAGGGCACTTCGGTGTCCTCGGAATCCTAATTTCGCGTTTTTCATTCCGCGTCCCCGTTTCTCTCTCGTCGATGTCCCGTGGAAAGCAGCCCCGTCGCGTCGTCCGACAGACCGGAAGCCTCTCTCGTTGCACGCGATATCTGACGGATGTCGCGAATTTTTTTTCTTTCACAGAGAAAACGATCGAGTGAAATGGAAACGTCCTGCTGCTGTTGTCGTGAACTTGAAATCGATCAAATTATACGCTCGGGTGCGCCACAGACTTTCTTTAAGTAAAAGGAAGCGTAAAGGACGTGTTCTTTCGCTTGTCGCGTTTGCTCATATTTTGTATGCGCGAGGAGACAGTTGTACCAGGAAAAGAACAAGAAAATAATCTTGAATGAAACGAGATTTACCGGTAGAAACGTAAATCGAGTGAGTGTCAGCTCACATTTTCTTCGTCTCTATCGTGGTCATAGAAGCGAAGCGAAAACGTAAATTGAAATCCGAGTTTCCTTCAGGATTAATTTTAATTCGAACTTGGAGAGATTTTGCAACACAGCAACACAGCTAGGTCACGTATGAACGATCACACTATGGAACACTTCTTCAAAGTCTCTCGCAGCCATAAAAAAATCCACAAAATCAATCGCACTCATCGATCACTGCCAATCAGCGTTAACCAGTTTGAACTCCGAAGCCGCGTGGCACACTCGATAACGCTCGGAATCGCGAGGATCGATCGAGAAACGATCGAAATAAGCTCGCGGAGGCGCGTGGTACCGGCATGGGCGTGTAAGAAGCACTAAATCCTGATGCCCTGTCCGTGGCTAGCCGGCCCCTCTAACAATAAACTTAGGTGAGAGACGAGAGACGAGCACACGCAGACAGACAGAGCAGAAAACCGCACGCGTGACAAAGCGTACGCGCGGCGTGCGTGCGTGAGCCACACTAGCGGAACGAGGATCATCCATTCGAGTCTACACGGTGTATAACACACGATCACGCGTGTGGGAGTATCTGTGACCACCGTCGTGTGGAAGAAGCCGTATGCTGATCATCTGCACTCGTTTATTGAGCATTAAGCGTGACGGTGTTGAGCTGGTGAAAGCGATCCGCTTTTTCGACCAGCTCCGCTCGAGGCTTTTCGATGTACTTCCGTCGCTGCTTTTGGGGAATCAGAGGAAGCGTTGGAAACCTTTCGAACGTCATGGGAAATTAAACTGGCACAGGATATCAGAAAAAAATCAGATTGAGGGATAGTGTAATTTTTTAAGAGTTTTGTCGCTATTGAAAAATTTGTAATTCTAAACATTGCGAAAATACAGCAGAAACATTCTTCGTCCCTAACTTGAGTATTATGATTCATTGTAAAGCGAAGTCTATAACATTACTACGGATACAAACGTTAAATTAGACCGACGATTGACATAGAACCCATTTATAGTACGCCTACGCAGCACTCGCGGCACCACACAAAACCTCCCAAAATACAACAGCGTATAGCGTCCCAAAGCGTTTGTTTCTAAGCGACGAAATACCAACGTCCTATGTCGCGTGCAATTCGTAGGCGAACTCTTCCTCCAAGGAATAACGAAGCTAAATCTGGCCAACTCGATGTATTAGCAATTCGAAAAATTTGCCGACACGGCAATATAACGGGATTCTACTGTAGTAAGCTGGCGTTGAAAGTTTTCGCGTTGGATTATACACGGTTTACACACGATACCGAGCTTCAGCGCGTCAGAAGGAACGAAAAGGGTGCACGAGGAAGAACGCTCGAACACGTGTACGAAGCGTACGTGTGAACGCGCGGGGGTGGAGTGCGACGAGATATTATGCGGATAAAATATTCATGGTTATCGAGGCTCGCGATCGGGCACGCCTTTATTTTTCGAGATGAATAGAAATGGTACCACCTCCCGTTGAGCCGTGGGACAGAAATTCTTTTACTCTCGACGACAACGAAAGAGAAGGAGCGTGAAAAAGAAAAGAAACAGGGGGATGGAAGATGACCAGAGAATCGGCTAGCTGTTCTGGACACCGCTTGAAAAGTAATATCGATAACGAGGGTTTATCGCCGTGAACGAATAAAAACCGAGGGTGGATGGAACCACGAGCTCACTATTGTGTAAAGAATGTTTTTTGCCCAGATATTTTTTTCCCTCCCTCTTTTTAATGCGAACCTTGCATTCACTGTTCGAACACAGACACAATTTTAATTTGATTGTCTTTCGCGTCGATATTAAGATGACGCAAAGTTGTAGTTGGTATGCTTTAAATAATTAACTCCCTTTCATAACCAATTTCTTCGATCCAACGCTGATATTATATTTATTAAATAGTAAATTACTGTCAGCTACGTCTAATTTGCACAGTCAATGGCTACTTATATAAACATTTAATTATTCGTTTCAAACTTCCATTACAATACTACGTTGAAGTTAATAAAGAAATTTCTGAAGGTGTTTTGCAGATGGAAATATCGGAAATTCAGTCGGGTGGAACTAGTTTGCTGCAACTCTCGGCTGGGAAAAACAACAGAGCTGTTCGATAATGTTAGGCTAGGTTCGCAGGAAGTTTCGTTGGTTACGAGGACGTTAATGAGCTGCAGGGATTACCAACGGCACCGTTTGCCACGCAATATCGAAAACGGAAATGGCCCCGACATCTCCAAGATTTCTTACTGCATCCTTTACCTTTGTTAACACCTTCACCGATTGCTGAGACAGCCTATCAGGAAATCGAACCAGCTTTCGAGACTCCCACGAACAAATTGTCCTAGTTATCGTTTACTCTACGTTATAAAGCTTACACTTCAACAGCCTGATAATAATAAAAGTTCAAAAAGCGAAAATGTAAATTCTCTTCTTTTCCAACCTTGTTAGCCAGGCATATTGTAACAATGGCCACGGCTTAATTATGTAATTCAATCGTGTTATTGGAACATTCAACGAGGTCTATTATTCCCGCTCAGATTATAACATATTTTATATGAAGCCAGCACGACTACTTTTGTTACTCAATTATTATACCATTGCCTGAAACGCTGGTTGCTGAATTTGATTTCTTCCCAATAAACAATTCATGGAAAACATATATTATTTGCTTTGTTAAAAACGCTCGTAAGCGTGAGGATTAAAAAGGATTAAAATTCAAATGAAACAATTTTTACTTTTGTTCCGTTTATAACCGTTGAAAAAAATAAAATATACTGGTATTGCCTCAGTGCTTTTTAGTCAGTGCATTTGTTAGCGGTTTTTGTTGCGCTGTCCAAATAACAGAATATTTCATTTTGACGAACTGTTCCAAATACGATAAAAAAGCAGAATGAGTTTTAAGCGAGCGCTGGTAATGGAAGTCGAAGTTTAAATTCTTAATTTGGTAGGTAAGGAAACAGCAGGATAAATGGGAAGATAAAAGAATGTTTAAAACTCGGAGTTTCCATGAAATGATTAGCGAGGTTTAATGATATTCCATTGAATTTAATTGACGTTTTTGCGCGTTAGTCCGGGCCTCGTCAAAACGATCCCCTAAGATTTGATTAAAATCCCGATTCGCGTGGGTGGAAATTAACTCGGTCGTGGAATATAAGTTTGCCGAATTAATTATCAACGGCTTGGAACTCGTTACGGAACTATTGAAATTTTCTGCGAAATACAACTTCCATACTTTTCCGACGCAATAATCCTTCGCGCTTGAAATTTAGTCGAGTGCAGTTGTTTCGAAAAATCCGTAAATTCCGTTGAAACGAATGATCCTGTTGAACTTTGCAGTTCGTGAAACAATTCGAACTCTATCCGCCGAAATTTTTTCATCATCGTACACAGTCTGTTTCTTCTTTTTTTTTTTAAAGGGACACAAGACAAATAAAAATTCAATCAAGTTCGGTGCAAACCGCGTATTCGCTCCCGACAGCAAATTAAATTCAATTAATTTCATCCAAGTTAGTTACGCGGTCGACCCAAAAATTGTGGGCTCCGGGAGCCCTGTAATTAAGTCGACTGTTACCCGGAAATAATTGGCTGTATAATTGACCGACGGACAGAGGTGTGTAAATAATTGTCTCACGGCTTTGCTCGAGGAGATAGTAAATAATTCCGCAGCGCCAGAACGAAAACAAAGAATCGGAGAAGCAATTAAAACCTGATGCTCGATCGATCGTCCGTAGAAATAATTTTATTTGTTGCTGGACGAACGTTCGAGCTTCTTCGATCGGTTCGTTCGAGTTTAACAAGCGCTAACTTGTTATTTTGTTATTTACTCTGAAATTAGGAATGTTAAACGTTTTCGCGATCGCTAACGAACACGGTTTTCGTTTCATTGCCGTCCGTGAAATACAATCTTGACAGAAAATTCATCCGATGTTGGCTAAACAAAATTTGAAAGTGTAATCCATGAATTTCATGATACGAAAATAGCTGGAGGGAAGAATAGACAGACTACTGCATGTCGATCCACCATGAGATAACGAGAGAAAATGAAAAACGACAGAGGGAACACAGAAGGCTATTATGTCGGCTACGAAACGTTCGTCTTGGTGAATTCTATTCGCAGGCTTTGCTCAGATAATATCGCGTATGCCAGTCTGTGCGTTAATCACGTAATGGTAGGTGGCACTTGAACTCCGGGGAGAAAGCGTCTACAATTTGCAGGTCGACGGTGTAATAATGGAGATAGTCCGCATAGCACGGGGTAGGAAGTTTAGTTGCTCTCCTTACACGCTACCAGTTCCTTTCTCCTTCTTCCTGCTACGTCTATGTTCCGCTGTGTGTGGATCTACTCTACTTCTATTTATAACCCTTTCTCTTTAAAAGCGCACAAGTGCGAAACGGTCTCGCGTGACTCGAAATTAGCCTCGTTATCACGATATAATTAGTTTAGGAGCTCGGAACTGGTCCGAAATTCGGTGTTGCTCGATGTAGTAATATCTCAACGACGCTTCTGTAATTTGTTTTCTCCTCCTCGATGCGCCGCGCGGACGAGACGCGGTTCAACAGAAGAATTAAGCCTCTTAAATTTGATTTTTCCTTCCTTAATTAGGAATCGCTCGCTATCCACTTGCACGACAACAAAAACTTGGAAATTTCGGAAAAGTATGCCAAAGCTTTCGGGTTTAATTTGTGTCTTGCCTTTAAGCTCCATTTAAGAGTTTAAGTAGTCGGCAAAATAGCTGTTTCGTATTTTCGAGGGTAAATCTTTTTTCGGTTCTGCTCTCCGAAGTAATTATATAAGAAGTTTCGACGAGTCGGCAAATTGTTCTTCCCCGAAACAAGTAGCCGAAACTTCCCCAGGAAAATCTGTTCCAAAACTTACAATTAGCACATGAGAACATGATTTCCACATTACCCCGAGGAAATCCTTTCCCGAAAGAAACGAGCGAACTTGGAGAAAGAAACTTTCTAAACCGTAGAATTTCAATTACATTGAAAATCAACGAGACCACCCTCTCGGCCCTGATCTCCCTCTAAATTACACGAACACGAAGGCACGGCAACGAGGCTGCGCCAGAATCAGCCTCGAGTCCTCGATGACAAGGCACGAGCTAGGGTATTCAACGTTTCCGAGGAAATCCAGCAACAACTCGGTCGAAAATCGTTCGGTCAAAGGGTTTAAGGGCTTGAACATGCAACACCCAGCGGTGCCCTTGCTACCAAAGTCCTCTGTCGAGCAACGAACGCGTGATAATGATTATAGCGTACAGGGTGGTCGCGTTAAACAGAGGCCGACTTAGAGGCAGTCGGCCCTCTGGTGTAATCCTTTGATTACAGCGTGTTTCGAGAGTCGTCTGAATCACGAGGAAACGCGTAAGGTGATATTCCTGAATGGTACGGCCGGAAACCGAAACCGGGCCGCATAAAGGAGGATATACAACGAACGTGGCGAACCGGCCGCTGTTGGCTGGCTGCTGGTGCTGCCTCGTACACGCGTTATAGCCAACCAACGACGAACTGATGCAGGATACACTGGAATGAGCCAGCATAGCGCATCCGGTGTACTCTGGTAATGAAATACAGTAACATTATATCCGCGATATTCATCCGCGCCGCGGTGTGCGGTTTGCCGTTACACAAGCGTGTGCAACTACGAGGCCGGGAGCGTGTGTTCGGATCGTCACACGGGGAATACTTGTCCAAGGATATCGCATGGCGTCTGGATTAATCAGGGCTCGAGGGAAGCCTCGGTACGATGACGGCTCCATGAGTGCAGGAAATTAAGACGGAGACCGAAAGAGGATTTCGTGGTTGCTCGAGACCACCCAGTTTCGAATCGGAATCTCGAACAGATTCTTTCCCATCGATTTAACGATACTCTTCAATTTTATTTTACCTTACGACGTTATGCGATATGTCATTTAGCGTGTAATTTAATTAAAATACAGATATTTAGTCGAGTAGCATTCAATTATTCATAACATGTTAATAGATTCTATTATTGGACACAGAAACGTGAGCTCGCACATGGTTTCAATCGAAACCGTTATGAATGATTTTATAATTGAGTTGTTTTTACAACAATACATATAACGATGTAACGTGAGAATAAATTAACAGCAGTAATCGATAGTATGAAATGAAATGGTTTATAAATTGACTCGAATACTAACGAGGTATTGATAGATAATATCTGGACATTTCATAACAAGGTGCAATTGCACAAAATGAAAAAACTAAATTTCGAGTACCTATCCATTTTTCGGTGTTTCGCTGTTTCTTCGCGTTTCCTCCGCAGCAGAGTGGTTTAATAATTTTAAATTGGAAAAGTTGTT